AGAAGGAATAAGAAAACTCCCAAGAGAGAGAGAAGAAGAAAAAAAAAAAAAAAAAAAAAAAAAAAAAAAAGAGAGAGAAGAAAAGGGGTGAAAGTACTACACGGCTCGGGGAAGAAGACCAGCTAGTCCACGTATGAAAGGAAGAGTACAAGAAAGAGGGAGGAAAGTTAGAAGAAGAAGGAGATCAGAGCCAAAAAAGAAAAAAAGGGAAGGAAAACGAGAGAAAAGAAAAAGTAGAGGAGAGGAAACTAATAATAGTAGCCTAATGTAGGAGGTCAGTGAAAGCTCACAGAGCTCACTGTGTGTGGGGAACGAAGTAAGCGTTGAGCCAAGAGTGAAGCAACCGCCGGCCGGTCGCCTCGCAAAGTGCATAATCAAAAAGACAAAACTAAAGGAGGGTGAGTGTTGAAAAAGGGGGGGCTCAAGCAAGGCATGTAATACTGTGTACAGTAAAGGCCAAGCCAAAAGGGAAAAGACCTTGGACAACCCCAAGAGGTGATAAGCCAGGAGGCGTATGCGGGTGCCCGCGGCGGGCACGCTGGCAAAAAGGGGGCAACAGTGACGGGATAATAGGTCACAGATATTCCATTATACGGATTGAGAAAAATCGAGGGGCTAACCAATCCTGCATGAGGACAGGGCAAATTATATCCGTATAAGAACAGAACCTACAGGCAGGACATGTAAAACAGTAGATCTGTGAGAGGCCGTAAGGAGTAATACAGGCTTATCAATTAAAGAAGCAATAATACAACATAACATATGAACAAATGCCATACAGGAAAAACAAATTTCAATACAAAAACTGAGGTCAGGAGAGAACCCTAGAAAACAGTATACCCCAGCTTCAGGCAACCGTACTACTCAGGATCCCCAGACTCAGTGCCAGAACTGTTACCCCGTGGAGACGAGCTCATCTAATTATAGCAAAATATGGAACGGATTCTACCAAAACCCCTGTGACACCCACGAGAATGAGCAGCACCTCTCCCATAACCAATGCTGAAAGGAGGGGGGGGGCACACCCCCAGGACTGGGGGGAAGCATAGAGCCCCAAGACAGCCGTAAGCGCTTACATAAAAGCAGGTCACAGGGGAGTACACCAACCTGCTCCGTGAGGCCTCAAACAAAGTGCGCAGAGGTGATGGTCATTCACGCGGCATCGTTCAGAATGTAACAGGGCTCCCATCAATCCCCTGGCAGCAGCATTGTGAGGTAGATCCCTCTCCCCCCCGTCCCACCCCCCTCCCCCTAAATAACAACTGCCCCTCATCAAAAATCCCGTATCTAGTGCAGAACTCAAAAAGGATATCAAAAGTAACCACGGGTATCATATAGAGCACGTGTCCGAAGCAGGAGCAGAGGCAACTCCCTCCGGTCAAATAGACCCCAAAAGGCTGCAAAAATCCTTCAGATGAAGCCGGGTCGCGGCCTGGGCTTGTAGTGCAGTACAAACTGAAAGGAGCCGGCCTTCCCGAGAGCTTTCACCAAACCGGAACAAGAGGAGCTTAAGACAGGAAGTGAACCGGGCACCCGGAAGGAGATAGAGACCCCTGCCGTAGGAGCAAGACCACTCTTCTTCAGTAGGCAATATACTGCGGGGAGGTAACTCCATGATGCGATAGGCGCAGAGATCCAGAGCAAGAGCAGTATGCTTGTTAGAGCAAGGAGAATCCGCAAACCAATGGGGTGTACCGGGTGTCGATCTTGAACAAGTCTCCTGACCTGTACGCTAATAAATATCACCCCAAAACCTGGGGAGGGTGGCATATCAACATGGATGACTAAAGCCTGCGAGAGCGACTGTAACGAGGCAACAGTAACCGTTGGGGCAAACCAGTAGAGCCCTACTCAAAGCAAAAGTAGCTGGCCAATCACAAATCAACAGGAAAACTGGAAAAACGGAGGCTGAAAGCCTGCTGGTGTAGCGGATCATTGGTTCTCGTGCCGAGGCTTCCTGTGCGCCGGGGAGGCCGTGGGACTGGAAGTGTCCATAGAGGCCCCTGCAGGGAATCGTGGAGGTGTCGAAGGGACCATCCGGCGCCGTCGCTGAGCAGGGTTAGGCCCCCCCGTTGCACCATCTTCAGCTCTCAGATCTGGGGCACGTGGCAACCTCATAGACCCGTTCCAATCGGGTAAGGCAATCGAGGAATATCCAAAGCAGAGCAAAAAGATGGCAGTTCTTCAGGAACACGTAGGTTGAAATTACGGCCATTCACTTGAGCAGAAAGGCAGAACGGAAACCGCCATCTATAGGGGATGTTGCGCGTGCGGAGAGTATCCAATAGGGGGCGCAGCGCCCGCCTTTGTTGCAGGGTCAGATTGGAGAGGTCCTGATATAGCTGTATCTCCGCCCCCTCATAAAGCAAGATGTCTTCTCCCCCTGGCGCATTTGAGGATATCCTCTTTAAGCGGGTAACTTTCAAGACAGCAAAATTACGTCCCTGGGAGGGTCTGTGTTTTCCCCCCTAGGACGGGTCGCCCGGTGTACACGTTCAATGGCAATCATGGTTGAAGGTGGGCGACCTAGGAGGTCATTAAAGATAGCTATTACCGCTTTAGGGACATCACAAGGTTCCACTGATTCAAGAAGGCCCCGGACCCTAATGTTGCGTCTGCGTCCACGATTGTCTAAGTCCTCAATGTGTCTATAAAAAATCTCGAATGGTCGACACATGCAGCGCTGATTGTTGTTGTAAATCAGAAATTGCCGCCTGATTCTGCCTGGTATCCAGCTCCACCCGCTCCACCCTTGTGCCCATAGAGCGGATGTCATCCCTTAATTCAGAGAGGGCAGAGGTTAATGTGGTGGTTAAAGTGGTCTTTATGTCAGCTGCCACAGCCTGGAGGTCCCTTAATGATAGGGAATGTGTAGCACGTGAGGAATGTGAGGAATCCAGCTGTGGCACTGTGTCCAGCACAGCATATTCAGCTGTGCTTGCAGAGCCTGTGTCAGAGACTGCAGAGGAGGGGGAGAGGGGGAGGACGCTGCAGAGGGAGAGGGCTGCGGCCCGTCTTTCAGCTGGGAGCGGAAGAGCTCCTTTATATGCCTCCCCTGAGCGTTCTGACCCCGCGGGGACCGCGATCTGGCCCCAGAGGGTGCCCTGTCGGTCTTCCCCATAGCAGAGGGGAGATGTCTCACCCGTCAGTGCAGAGCGGCAGCAAGGTAGGAACCGGCCGGCGGGAGCTCCGTGATTACGCGGCCATCTTCACTCGCGGCTCGGCCACGCCCCCCTGTTATAGGTTTTAATTAGACTACTGAAAGCTGCTGCAAGACTTCTGGAGCTTTGGGGTGAAAAAAAAAAAAACACATTGGATGGGCCTCTACATCCATGTATTCCCCTTATGGGGAATAAATAGTGGTTCTGTGCACATTTTTGCTCTATATTATAGCTAGGACATGAAATATAATTAAAACTGTTTTTTCTACTGTGTTATCTGATAAAGCTTTAGGTTCCTTTAAAAGTGGTCTCCTCTCATATCTTTGATGGAAAATGTCTGTTTACAGGGCTCAACAGCACAAGCTGAAACTTACTGGTGAATAAGTCAGCATTGACTCATCCCTTATCCAATGACTGCCTGAGTTTTCAATCAAACACAGCTAACCTGAAAGCAGACTGTTTCTGCTGTACTCTCTTTATCCAGTATAACCCTATAAAGGTCTGAAAATTCTGTGTTCTGTAATAAATGTTTATAAGAATGAATTCATATTTCATTCAAAAAGTATATCAGATCAGTTTACAAACCTAAAGCTGAAGTTTATTCTGCCTTTATTTTGCTTTTTCTTGGTTACTCCTCTTCCCCCTCAAGATACTAATGATAGTTTTTATCAAAAGTTTTATTATTTTCCTTACATACATTTCCCATAGGAAAGAACTTGAAAATATGCTGTATGCAGATATACAGATGCAAATGCCAGAACACGCGTATTTTTGAATTAATTCCTATGGGCAGAATTACACATTAGCTGGGGCTCCCAGGTACTGCAAAACAAAGTGTATTTTATGCTGTATGCCCATATTATTATTATTATAATACAGGATTTATATAGCGCCAACAGTTTGCTCAGCGCTTTACAATATAACAGGAGACAATACAGCAACAATACAGTTCAATACAAGAGGGTTAGGAGGGACCTGCTCATTGGAGTTTACAATCTAAGAGGTATATATGCATGAGCCCCAAAAGTGCTTGTTGGTTGGCTGGCATTTAAATTCAATGGCTTTGGTAATTTCAGAGTCACTAAGCCAGAACAATTATTCTTATAAGCATTTCTGACTGCATGTGTTTCATGCATGTTTAATGACTCAAAGTGCAGAAATCAGGAGGACTGAATGAGAAGTAGGGCTGAAGCTCTTTTTGGCCCTACTTCTCCTATGGATCACATTAGCGCACTTTGTTCTGCACTCCTGTGACCCAGATTCAGCAGACAGCAGGCTAAAAATTCTCTGTTGGCAGACATCACTCAGCTGGCGCAGGCTCAGGAGAGATCCTGACTTTAATGCTGGCATCCACCCAGATGACTAGACTGGCAGCTGGCTCAGCCTCTTAGTGCACTGCTGAGAAATTGAGCCAGCCGCTCCCACCCCACAGCCTGGAGCTCCAGTCACCTGTTCTCTGCTCACTGAAGACAGAGAACTGAGCAATCAGCTGTCTTTGATCTCTCGGTTCTTGGTCTTAGAGGCAGTGGGGGGACAGATGCAGCATTGGACTGATGATGCATCCAACTAGGTGAGTAGAATGTTTTTTAATTCTGAACTTCTCTTTTAATTTGTCTGCATGCAAATGACCAGTGATCAGGCCACATGAAGCAAAAATTGGACTGTGGAACAGGACCCTAGCCAAGACCTAGTGCAGAAATTTCCTGCCACGTACCCATACCTAATAAACAAAGTGTAACTAATGCATTTGAATACACAAAGTTGAGCTATTAGTTTATGGTTGACCTAATTACAACCACAAAAGTCCTAAGCATGCAGAAATCTATAAGTACCACATACCTTTTTCTTCTTTAGAAATCCTTTGGGACACTTTGTCTAAAACATTTATTTTCTGGCTAAAAGCTTCCACATATTCTCCCAGCTCTGTAAATTCATCAGGGCGATTTTTAACTCCGCGCACAGAAGATGCTACAGCCTTGAGTGTCTGACCCATTCTGCTAAAAAGTCCAGGACCTTGCTTTTTGTGAGAAGTCAGCTCCTAAAAACACAAGAGCAATTTAGCAGTGCTGTTCCCTGCCATCTCCTAAGCCTTTAATCATACTGCAGGATAGAGGACATGACTTGCGCTCTGAAAGGGATAAAATAAATTCAGAAGATTGCAAACACCAAAAACTACAATGAACAACAGACTGCAGGTAAAAGCTGATTATCATTCACACGAGCCCATAAGTTAAAATATGTCTGCTCTGGTGTACATTGCATAGGGGTGGTGCAATAAATCGTTGCAAAACAGCAAACTACTTACTTTTTTTTTTTAATTAAAAGTCATCAAATGACAATTCATTCAACTCTATGTACCACAGTGTGTGTGGTGCAGTGACATGAGGTGTACTGCGTAGCACTGTGTAAAAATGTATAAATGCTGCATTTTTAAACAGGCAGGACCACTGCAAATGAATAGTGTGAACAGGGCACATTGAGAATAATTGCTTTCCATCTGCCATTGTGTTTAGCTGATGTTGATCTATGTAGACGAATGAAGCTAAAAGGATATAGCGTGAAATAACCCTTAGTGTTTTTAAAGGGGTTAGTACACCAAAAATGTTTATATAGTTACAAGTAGTGTAGCTGTCTGAGAATGTCATTGCATGATCTTTCTTCTCGACCATAGACGGATTGAAATTCAGCTGGTTCAACTGGAACCGGCCAAATTTCAATCTATGGGCAGGCTCATTGTACGGAAGTTGATCTATCAATCAACTTCAGTACAACTAGCCTTTCTTTTTTTTTTTTTCCATGCATGCACTGCTGGCGGATATAGCCACCAGCAGTGATCATTGTATTCTGACAGCGGGGAAACCTCCTACTGACAAAGTACAATAGCGCAGTGGTAGGGATTCCCATTTCCACTGACTGTGTTCATGGGGGAATCAAGTGATTTTCTTTCCTTCAACCCTTGGTGGAAGAAAAGAAAATAGAAAATAGCATAATCTATGGCTTACTTTACTATACAGCATTTAATTCAATTATGTACTATTCCATATAATGGATCACTAATTTTCATTGGGAGCATGCAAACTACTACTACTAAACTCAGCTTTAGAGAACAAAAATGAACAGACACAAAAAAATAAAATTAAAATAAATTAACATGTAAATTTATAGCACAACACAATTGAACATGAAACCTCAATAGTAAGCATGTTACTGTTGAGGTTTCATGTTCAATTGTGTTGTGCTATAAATTTACATGTTAATTTATTTTAATTTTATTTTTTTGTGTCTGTTCATTTTTGTTCTCTAAAGCTGAGTTTGTACTCACCTCCAATCCACTGTACTCACCTCCAATCTACTAGTCTTGGTTTCGGCTTCTCAAAAACGTTTTCATTTATTTCTATTGCATAAGGCATACAGGACATCAGTTTAGTTACATTGGTGGGAAAGTAGGGCCACCCCTTTGTGTCCGAAATGTGAACGGGTTAACATGTTCTTGATACAATATCACAAGTATTTCTGTTTCAGCTTTCAAGGGACCCTATTGTTTGTTTGTTGGGTGCATTAGAGGAAGAATATCTTACCCCACATGCCCATACTGCGGTCTTACATCAATTGTACACCACTCGTAAACTCCTCATTGCTCCTCATGTGCCAACCAAATATAACAATGGATGGAACAGGTGAAAACATGCTCCTATGTGAAAAATTCACATACCAGCACAGAAATGTTTTCTGCAAATTTGACTCCATGTGGCAAGCTTAGCTAGACGTGCCAGGCCTTGCACCACATCAGCTGGTAATGGACAGACTTCTCCAGGGATAGGTCCCCGATAGGGGTTAAAAAGATTTTGAGGCTGACTCGTTTAGTTGACAGCACTCTACTCTCTATTGCTCAAGATGGCATATACTCGCTCTATTGTTTTCTTGCAATTGTGTGATTTCAACAATGTCTTCTTATGTACGTCAGGTATGATTGCCTTGTATACTCCTATTCTGACACTGCTCAATACCCATTGTAACACATATGTCAGTGTTCTTACTCTGCACCAGTACCACGTGTCTTATTTGATGTCTGTATACTTGCCGTTTTGTACCCGTTGGTTTATATAATAAACATTTTTCTCTTGATCAAAATTGGAAGAGGACTTTAACATATCTAGGTTAAAGGTTTCCAATTTTTTAGATCATTTTAAAAGGTTGTCTAAGGCCTTAACAGGTACAGAAAGACATCTGGTTCATAATAAAAGTAATTCTATGATGGAAATCCAATACACTTGGCCGCAGAATGGGCTTATGCAATAGAACAGTCACTACAACTCTTAGCAACCAATTACATCTCAAATTATTGTAGTTAAATCAGTGAATTAATAAAGCTCATTGGTTGCTATGGATTGCTGCATTTTGTATTGCCACAGATCTATTCACTGTTTAAATAAACAATTTTAAAAAAGTCACACCTATAGAAAAGTACTCAACCAAAACTTTATTCTTCCTCATGTTAAAATCATCAGATTCATTTCAAAAGCAGTTATAAAATATTTGATGTTCAAACATAGCTTCAAGACTTCTAAAGCTCATAGGATGTCAGGAAATAATTCACCAATAAATGCATTACATCATTATAATTCTCCTTTGCAAACCAATTTTTTTTTCTCGTTCTCTCAATTTCCTTAAAAGGATTGTTTAAAAGATTTAAGATGATGAAAAAAAATCCACTTGTGTGGAAATAAAATACAGCCCATTAAAGAAGCAAAGATTAAGACTGAAAAGTTTTGAAACTATTAGAGATTCTTACCCATGCTTGAGCTGTAAGGAAAATCTTGAAGTCGTCATTAAAAGTTAATGTTGGATGATCAGCTATTCTGTTCAAAAATTTATGCAAAGCTTTCCTCCGAGTCTCAATGAAATCATCATTGAATCGCTCCACCATCCCTTTAACTATGAATTTTTCCGGCAATGGCTAGTTAAAAAAAAAAAAAAAAAAAAATCATGCACAAATAGATGATTTGTAGTACTTGTGTTGTTTAGATATATTCTTTAAAGTGACACTGTTGCTTAAAGAATTATCACTATTTTTTTTGCATTACTCAGCTCTCTATGGAAGAAAGTACATGTAGTATTTTGTCTCCTCTTCCTAGGTGCCCTGATGCCACATCTGCAAGGAGATGGCTGCTTTGATAGCGAATGTCTGCCTCCAGCACCAAGCACTTGTCTAAAGCCGGCCACAGATGATTCAGTAGGGATTGGACAAATTTTGATCCACATATGGGAAGGCTGGTTGTACACAAGGCAATCTATCAATCAACTTGTGTACAACCAACCTGTTGGGTTTTTCCCAGCGCCGCCGAAGTATTTATTTTTTTTTGTTCAACCAGCAAAGTGATCAATGTACGGGGTGCCTAAAGCGAACCATAGATCAATAGAATCTCAACCGGTTCAGCAGTGACTGCCAAGATTTGATCCATCTATGAGCAGGCTGGTTGTACTGAAGCTGATCCATCGATCGACTTCAGTTCAACCAGCAGGTCAGATTTTGTGCATGCGATTACTGCCAAAGGCTTTAGACGCTAGCAGTAATCATTGTGGCAGGCAGGGAAGGCTACCCGCCAGAACACAGTAGCACTGCTAGAGGGATTCCACCATCAATACTAACTGTGTTGATGGAGGAATCTAGCCATTTTCTTTCCTACAAACTGTAGTTTCTCATGCAGGTGCTTGACTCAAGCAAGTGCTAGGAACTGGAAACAGGAACTCATTATCATGGCAGCTATCTCCTTGCTAGCTGTGGTGACAGGTGGCTATGTGCCAAAGTGGAATCCCTGTCCTATACTGTATCTAGTGTTACAGAGTCCCTAGGAAAATGGGACAAAATACTGCTGATACGTTGTCCCATAGGGTTTGAACTGTGTAAAAATAATTCTTCTTTAACCACTTCAAATCCGTACACTTTTACCCCCTTCCTGTCCAGGCTAATTTTCAGCTTTCAGTGCTATCACACTATGAGTGACAATTGCGCGGTCATTCAACACTATACCCATATGAATTTTTTATCATTTTTTTGAAGACATAACACTTTTATTTTGGTGGTATTTATTCACCACTGAGATTTTTATTTTTTTTGCTATATAAATGAAAAAGTCCAAAAATATTAAAAAAAAGTGTTTTTCTTATAAAATTTTGCAAATAAATAATCTTTCTTCATACATCTTGCCAAAATGTATTCAGTTATCTTTTTAGTAAAAAAAAAATAACCCAAATTAGTTTATAAGCAAAAATTATAATTTTTCAAAATTTGTTTTTACATTTGTATTTTAGTTTTTTTATATTATGTTTTTTTTTTTTTACATACCGCCACCCTAGCAGTACAGTGTCACCATAATGACACTGATTGCTTTTACACCTATAAAGGCTTTAAAAGCAATCATTTCTCCTTCTCTCTGACTGCATTTTTGCAGCCATTAGGAAATACTGTGTGAGCTGTGATTGGTCACAGCTTGTCACATGGTACAAGGCTGTTGTGAATAGCTTTGTACCATGTGATCTCTGTGATCATTCACAGATTTCACACGTAGTAAGCAATGAAGTCAGAAGTGACATCTTACTTACTACTACTCTTCATGTGATCACTGATTGGCCAGTCAGTGATCACATGACTGGGACCTCACACAGAGGTCCTGTACAACGATCGGTGTTCGCAGTGTTGTACGCTCCCAGGGAGCATGCACAGGCAGGGACACGGGGAGGACGTTTATAAATGGCCAGCCACTTCTGCACTGCTCCCGTCCAGCCGTTTATATACATGGGCCGACCAGAAAGTGGTTAAAGTGTATGTCAAAGCAAAAAAGACTGTAGTACATCACTGCAATGCATGTGCATTTCCCCATGTTGTATGCTTCCAAAGTCACAGAAAGCAGAAAAATACTTCTTGCTCTCTTTGAAATCCACTCAGCTCCTAAGTTCTGATGTAGGATAACAACACACACCATTTCTGCAGTCTGACTGGTGTCAGCCCTGTTAACCACTTGCCCTCCAGAGGATTTACCCCCCCCCCCCCTTCCTGACCAGGCCATTTTTTGCGATACGGCGATGCGTTACTTCGGTGGTATTTGATCGCTTCTGTGTTTTTTATTTTTTGAGCTATAAACAAAAAAAAGACTGTCATTTTTGAGAAAAAAACACAATATATTTTTTACTTTTTGCCACTAAACATGTCCTGTAAATTTTTTTTTTAAAAATCAACTTTTCGTCACAAATTTAGGCCGAAGTGTATTCTGCAACATGTATTTGCTAAAAAAAAAAAAAATCCCAATACATGTAAATTAATTGGTCTATGTGAACGTTATAGCGTCTACAAATGGCAGTATATATAAACTGGAATTTTTTTTTTTTTTGCTAGTAATGGCAGCGATCAGCGACTTATAATGGGACTGCGGCAGGCATTCTGACGCTGGGGGGAACTGACTAACTGTCACGGACATCCCCAGTGACACAAATACTATGATCAGTGCTAATTAAAAGCAGTGACACTTTACTAATGACACTGGGCAGGAAGGGGTTAACATCTGGGGCGATTAAAGGGTTAACTGTGTGCTGTATATCTGTTTCACTGTGTAAGCAATGTGCAGGAGCTGACAGGGGAGAGATCGGTTTTGTCTACATGCAGGTCTCTCACGTCAGTGATATTCGGCGATCGCCGGGGAATCACCGGCCGTGACCCGGTGACTGACAGCCGAGGCCGCCAATGGTGGCGCAGGTAGGGTGTACGCCTACCCGTAGGGTAGGGTATGCGCCTACCCAGAAATGCAAAATCACAGACACACACATATACATACATAACACACACTATATAGGGCAGCAGGAAAGTGGTTAACTAAATCCGTAATTACCAAATATAATCCATACACATCCACTACTTCGTGGTTCTGTAATCTATTTTTCATTAAATTGCTCCTTACTGTGTTTTTCTGTCTCCTTGTAATATCCCCTGTGAGCTGCCAAACCTCTCCATTTCCCTCTCCTGTTTGATTGGAACAAGCAGTGCACGTTAGTTTTGGTCCTGTGCACATGAAAAATCCCATAGTCCATAGTCTCTAGTTCATCTCATTAGTGAGCAAGAGAGGGTGGTTGCATACAGTGGGACCACAAAGAATGAATGTGGCCACTCTCTAACTAGAAGTCACATCACAGCGGTAAAAAAGATGAACTTAAAGATTTGGAGGAGGCTCAGATCAATGTAATGTACTTTTCCAGGTTTAGAACACATAATTGAACATCATTTTCTTTTTTTAATGCAGAGTTTAGTTTTTAGCAGCTTCCATTGCCCCCTCCACGCTAGAATATAAATCTGTTTTGAACAGGTAAAGCTCCAGTACTTATGTCAGAGATTTCCCACTCCCTCCAGCCCTCATGCATTACTATGAGCCCTTCACTATGATGGGTTACCTGTCTTGCCAATAAAAATGAGTGGTAGGTAGAAGGGGTGGGTATGCTCCACCACAACTGGAAATGTTGAAACTTTTCCTATACAGAACAGCCAGGCATTTGAGCGTGGAATGGAGGGACAATAGAAACTGCTACCAGATAACAGCTTTATTTTTATTAAGTGAAAATCAAGTCATGACAGAAACCTGGAGACAATTTCTGCTCCCAAGAAAATATTAGTTGCCTGACTGTGGCAGTAATCCTATGGTTTAAAGGATAACTATCTTTTCACACCCATATTTAGGATTTAACATATAACACGGCTTCCCCATCTTCAAACAGCTATGTCATTAATTCAATGTTCTGTGAACGAATGAACTACAAGTCCCATTCTCCACCATGGAAGATGGACCTGAAGTTCTCAATAGAACATAAGCGAGTGACTACCCCACTCGTAGTCCATCAACACTTCCTCCAGCTCTTTAGTTGCAGGCTCATACCTCAATACAGACATAGAGCTGGAGAAATACAAAAAAAAGCAATATGGTAAAATGTCCCTCCATTTATACTGTTTTTTTTCCAACATCCCAATATATATAGACCAAGAAAAACTAGAAATCTTGCCCTGGGACACTGTATGGCAAAAACCACAATGGGTATACAAAAATATAGAACGGTAATGTTTATTACAAAAGATTAACACAATAAAACGAATCGAACCCTTCTGGCGCAGAGTCTACCGACAGGTTAATGGAATGCGCAAAAGTGACCCTGAGCTGCCTTTGTGTCAACAAGTGGCATCTGTCCATGGAGGTGTTTCCTCAAATATGTTTTTTAGGGCTCGACCGCATCCACCAAAACCCGCGAGGGGGACTTTAATAAGACCCTCCTACAATGGGAATAAGGGTGGATTTACCAACTTAATGCCACCAATCCACCCGGCCTTACAGAGGCCTTCAATTTTAAACCATTTCTGTCTGGTTTTCGTTCTTGGGGTGTGAAAGATTTGTAATTTTTCATCTATTCCATTCATTGTGCCATGTATGTATTATATTTTGTATACTGCTCATGTTTTTTCCTGCATGTTTTCCCCTTTTGTATCTCAGCAATACTCAGTGTGTACCACTTGGGCCATTATGTTGTTATTTTTTATACTGAAGGGTGATGCTCCCACTGACAATCTTGGGGTGGTCCAGTGGGGGGCGCCGACGGTGTTACCATTCGCCACCCGGCGCGTCCAAGCCCCCTCAAGTGTTACCTACCCTGAGGGGTGGGCCTTGTGTTTTCTAGCCTCAGCCTTGGGTACCTGCAGCATGCATCTCCCCCAGGAGGGGTCAGTGTGCCCTTGTCTTTGGGCTGCTGGGTGTGTCGGCGGTGCCGCGCATGTTTGTGATGTCATAGCGTTGCATCAGCAGGTGGGGCAGCACCGCCAACTGCGGCCATGATGCTGCATGTGCAGCAATATGGGGGGGAGAATTCATACACTTATTTATTCACCACATTTGGCGCCAAACGGACAGCTGTCCTGAGATGGCTCCATATGATATACAAAGGCACTATTGGTGAGCACTGTATATTGCTCTTATATTCTTGTACGCTCGCTTTATGGAGGGGCGATTTTGTTTGTATATGGGCTCACATATGTATCTTTTGTTACCTCTGAGTTGGACTTATTTTGCCATTTTACTATAGTACATACTTCAATTGAGCCCCTATGCCAACAACCTATTTGCTCGAGCCATACATTATTTTTATGTACCAAACAATGAATATTAGTTTTTATCTATGGCCTTTATTATACTTGCTAGATCCCCTTATTGGCTGTTTCTGTGTGGTCCTTGCTGGTGGATTGCTCACTGGGGTGTCTCTGCCTGCCCTCTCCTTGATGTGTCATCTGGAGAGCATCCTCATTACATTTTTTTTATGAATGTTACTTATTATCAGATGTGGGGCCATTTGTGTTTGAGCAATCAGCTTCTTCTTACATACTTTTAAAATATTATGTATTATAGTATTATATTGTTCACGCTTATTTGATATGTTATGTTTTAGACCTAACACATTTAGTCCCTGAAGAAGAAAATAAGAGTTGCAAATCGCGTTGGATTTTCTGAACAACATCACTGTACAAGTTCTTTAGGGCTGCCTATCCATTTGCTAGTTGATGTATTATAGACAGGTTTTATACACATTGTGTATGTTCTGTATGTGATATAGCAATCATTGTATTACAATTTACTACACTGGATCTTTCGATTCATTTTATTGTGAATTTTTTGTAATAAACATTACGGTTTCATATTTTTTTGTATACTCGTGGTTTTTGCCAAAGTCCCAGGGGAACATTTCTAGTTTTTCTTGGTCTAGAGCTTGAGGAAGAGTCTACAGGAGCCTGTGCACTGCAACCGCAGTCCACTGATCAAGGCTGCAGTGCTATGCAGGCTCATTGGCATTAAAAACAAAAAAGCCCTTTCTTGCTGCAAATATGGGAACTTAGCCTTTAATACTCTGAATTAACACAAATATGCAGATTAAACTTGGCAAGTGTGCCTACAGGCTCCTGGAGGGCCTCCGATGACCCTTTATCCTGAGATCAGTCAGTTCACACTTGCACATCCAACCATTCTCTAAAGTCTATGGCCACTTGAACTTACAGGAATTATTAACGTTGGATGAGCATCTTCAAGTCTGCTTTTCAACCAAATAAAATCTTGATAACGTCTCCTGACTTCAAATTCACTTGAATCAAATTCACTGCGGGTCGTCTGAAAATAAAACATTGTTTGTTTACCTCTTGACAGAATGAATGTTTAGTGATCAACAAGAAATATTTGTCACATTGCAATTTGGTGCTGTTCAGTATTTGTAAAAGTACATCACATTCAAACAGTGCTTTACAAAACAAGGAAATCAGAATCAAATGACATTCTATTTATCCTAACAAATGCATTCCATTAAGTATTGGTTCACAGCAGAGGGGCACTTACTGCACTGAAAAGGATATGTCACTTCTAAAACGTTTTTTTTTTTTTTTTTTGAAGACATAACATGACACTTATGTGGCTGCCTCTCTCTCTTTAGCCTCCTTTCAGACCTCATGTAGTGGGAACAAGCGCTTCTGAATGCGATTTTTAAGGCACATTTACACACAGAAACGTATGTCATGCATATCCCTACTCACATTTTTTGCTCAAAAGAAGCTCCTGCTTCCTTTTGGGCAAGAAGCTTAGTGCAATTTTTAATTACGCATTTTGCCGCATGGCTGTTTGAAGGCAATCGCGGCAGAATTGCACACATTGTTTGGGGTGCCTTTAACCTGTGATTTCAAATCACTTTGTGTGAATGGGGATATTTCTATATAAATACAGTTAGGTCCATACATACAGTGGGGATCGAAAGTTTGGGCACCCCAGCTAAAAATTTGTATTTATGTGCATAAAGAAGCCAAGGAAAGATGGAAAAATCTCCAAAAGGCATCAAATTACAGATTAGACATTCTTATAATATGTCAACAAAAGTTAGATTTTATTTCCATCATTTACACTTTCAAAATAACAGAAAACAAAAAAATGGCGTATTTGGACACAGGCACAATTATAGATTTTTTCAGGTATTTACCAAAACATATTCAAGCTATAGTTATATAATGGATACGGGCTGAAACTGCACACTCTCAGGTTTAATTTGAGGGTATGTACATCCAAATTGGAGGAAGTGTTTAGGAATTACAGCTCTTAAGAGTAGCCACCCCCCCTTTTTCAAGGGACCAAAAGTAATTGGACAATTGCATATAATCATAAATACAATGTTCATTTGAAATATTTTGTTGAGAATCCTTTACTGAGAATGACTGCCTGAAGTCTGAAACTCATGGACATTACCAAAGACTGGGTTTCATCCTTTCTGATGCTCTGCCAGGCTCTTACTGTAGCTGTCTTCAGTTGTTCTTTGTGGGTCTTTCTCCCTTTAGTTTTGCCTTCAGCAAGTGAAATGCATGCTCAATTGGGTTCAGATCAGGAGACTAACTTGGACATTGCAGAATATTCCACTTCTTTTCCTTCAAAAGCTCCTGCGTTGCTTTTGCAGTGTGTTTTTGATCATTGTCCATCTGTACTGTGAAGCGCCATCCAATCAACTTTGCTGCATTTGGCTGTCACATAATCAAAAAACACCAATGACCCAGTGCCACTGGAAAACATGCATGCCCATGCTATCACACTGCCTCCACCATGCTTTACAGATGACGTTGTGTTCTTTGGATCATGAGCTGTTTCAAGCCTTCTCCACACTTTTTTCTTCCTACCATTCTGGTACAGATTAATCTTCGTTTTATCCGTCCAAAGAATGCTTTTCCAGAACTGGTCTGGCTTTTTTAGATGTTTTTTGGCAAAGTCTAATTTGGCTTTTCTATTCTTCAGGCTTATGAATGGTTTGCACCTTGTGGTGAAACCTCTGTATTTGCTCTCATTAAGTCTTCTCTTGATTGTAGACTTTGACAATGATATGCCCACCTCCTGGAGAGTGTCCTTTACTTGTCTGGATGTTGTGAATGGGTTTTTCTTTACATTGGAAAGGATCCTGCGATCATCCACCACTGTTGTTTTCTGTGGACATCCATGCCTTTTTATGTTGCTGAGCCCACCAGTGCATTCATCTTTCCTCAGAATGTACCAAACTGTTGATTTTGGCCACTCCTAATATTGCTGCTATCTCTCTTGATGGATTTGTTTCATTTCTGAAGTCTTACAATGGCCTGTTTCACTTGTATGGACAGCTCATTTGAATGCATGATGTAGGTTCACAGCAATAGATTCCAAATGCGAATACCACAGGTAGAATCAACTCCAGACCTTTTACCTGCTTGCATATCAAAGGAGTAGCACACACCTGGCCATGAAACAGCTTTTGATTCAATTGTCCAATTACTTTTGGCCCCTTGAAAAAGGGGATGGCTACTCTTAAGAGCTGTAATTCCTAAACCTGTCCTCTAATTTGGATGTACATACCCTCAAATTAAACATGAGAGTGTGCACTTTCAGTCCATATCCATTATATAACTATAGCTTGAATATGTTTTGGAAAATACCTGAAAAAAAAACAAAAATTATGCCTGTGTCCAAATATATATGGGCGTGTGCGCCACCCTTTGCAGCTATAGCAGCTTCAACTCTTCTGGAAAGGCTGTCCACAAGGTTTAGGAGTGTGAATGTTATTCACTTTCATGCAGTATTACAGTGTCCCAAAAAAAATCTGTGTGTCAATGATGACCAGCAATGAAAATGTCCAACGTATTGTGTGAATACGTTGGAAACATAAAAAGCAAATGATCAAAATGCAAATGGTATTCACTGTCATACAGTATTACAGTGTCCTGAAAATAATCTGTGTGTCAATGATGACCAGCAATAATAATGTCCAACATATTGTTATTCCCAGACACACTCCTAAACCTTGTGGATAGCCTTCCCAGAAGAGTTGAAGCTGTTATAGCTGCAAAGGGTGGGCCAACTCAATATTGAACCCTACAGACTAAGACTGGGATGCCAAACTCAGCATACAGATACATTTTGCGCTATTGTACACTTCCAACCTTGTAGCAATAGCTTGGGGAAGACCTTTGTCTGTTTAAAGTGTTAATAAACCCACAAGAGTAAAATCAATCTGTATATGCAGTAAAGCATGCTGGTTATACTCACAGTGGAACTTAAGGGGTTAGTCCCCTGCGTGTAAGGAGGATGTGTAATCCTGCCTTCTCTGATCGTCCCCTTCTTCCACTGTCCAGGACTCATTTCCTGATAGAAGAGAGCCCTGGGGGAAAGCTGCACATGCTCAGTTTGGTGTGTACTGCTAGAGAGTTTTTTTTTTTCATGGGAGAGTGCATGTGATCAGCACAGGGTCAATCAGCATTGTCCAGACAGAGGGTCAGGGGTCCTGCATCCTCATAGGACAGTCAGAGCAGAATGAAAATGTCTCCTACATACATGCTTTAACCAGTGCTGTGCTGGACACCGGTAGCAGGCACAAGACTGCTCTAACGGCTGATGAGAAAAGGTATTTAGCAGTTTATATTTACCAACATAATTGCATTTCCAGGTTCTGTGTACTGTGGGAGACCAGATATAGTGAATGCAGGGTCCTGGGTTTAGTCATATTTTAGGTATAACTGTGCCCTTGCACTCAAAACCAGGTCCATAACCACAAGTCAAGCACAGAGGATCTGGAGTACCTGACCTCACAATGCTCCTTCAGCTGTACAGGAACTTATTTTTGATACATTCCAAAACCTTGCGGGAAGCAGGTAAAAAAAATTAAGGTTGTGAATTCCCATGGTTTTGGAATGGGTTGTCAACTTCACATAGTTGTGACTGTCAGAGGTCCACAAAATGTTGGCCATATAGTGTATCTTGACAGCAGCCCCCTTTCCCTTTTACTTTTCATCCTCTCTACTCCTCCCTGTCTGGCATTAATTGCCTGCACTGGCTAAAAAGAATCCAGTACTGAGAGAAATAGGGAGGTTGACATAGCTGGCAGTCATGAAATTCAATGGCTTTATTAGTTACTAACCTAAATCAGGCAGGAGGTGAAAATGGCTGTAATCCCTTCCATATACCCAATGAATTGGCTGACCTGAGGGATGAATCAGAGTTGTACCTGTCTTGCTATAGCCATCTCTTCTCTACAGACATTCAAAGTTCAGCATTTGGCTGTATGGTTCTGGACACAAGTTTATGCCATGCCCAAATCTATCATTAATGATTCCCTACCTCGTAATCCTTGAGAAGCCCTTCTACATGAACCAATATTATCCCCCCATAGGCAACAGAGGCAGCTGGCAGGATCTGTGATTCTGGCTGGTCGGCAGACTTTGGCTAGATTGTGAAACCGTTTAGTAACGTCACAGAAGTTAAGGAGAGACTGATGGGCACAATGGTGCATACATGAGAACCTCACCTACATTCTGGACAATACCCACGCAACATTTTTAAGAATTTGGGATCTCTGGATTACATATAATGCTTTCCATATGATACCCTCCTGTAGCCTTTGTACACCACAGCTGAATCGGCCTCTCGGGGAACCCCCCCTTCCAAGATTCCCCCCCCTTCCTTCTCTTCCTTTGCTCCCAGGCATGTTCCTCATTCTTCTCTTCCCTCCCAACTCTTCTAATGCATCCCTGTTTTCCTTTTCTCTCCCTCTTTTCTCCTTTCCTGCTGGGACACTCCAGGCAAGGGCAATCAGATCTTTCGTTCCCTTTTTTCCCCTTTTCCTTTTTTGTCTAGCAAGGCAGACAGGAGCGCCTGATACTTCCACAATTCTTACCTGTCAGTGCACCAAGTCAGACTTTTCTGTTACGTATAGTTTGGTTACCTTTGGGTGATATTGGAATTGCTGTTACCACAGATACGCCAAGCTTTCCACCCTTGCATTTCTCAGTTCATAGTTTTTATTGTACTTTGTTATTGTGCCTTCCTTTCTGTATACAGCTCTTCGCACAGTTTCTATCTTTGGAAAATCTAATCAAACCTTTGTAAAACAAAGTGCTAAATGTGCAAAGCTTCTCTGAAAATTCAGAAATAAGGAGGCGGGCAGCTGAAATTACAATCTGCAGAACTCAGTGAGGAGAGCTCTGAGAGCTGAATGGAAGGAAGAGACACCCCCTTAACACAGCACACAGAAAAAAGGCTGAGGCTGTTAATCTGCTGGAGGTCCCTCCCCGTCACCATTCTTCTCTTGGTGTCAGGAAAACTTGTCAGAAGTGATTCATGCTGATAGCAGAGGAACAAAGCAGCAGACAGCAGACATGACACTTAGTGATCCTAACTGAGACAAGTACACACTATAGAGGGGTATACTTTGTTAATATTTCAAGTCTGAGGTTTACAACCACTTTAAAGCCTAATTTACTTATTTTTCTTTTTTCAGCTTTTGATAAAGCGGGGAAGAGCCAAAATGTCTGTAAGGTTTTTATTTCTCTCTGTGACCCCACTGGGTATATTTTTCCTAACTTCCTGTCCCTGTTATGTCCGGAAATAGGTGATTTGGTAATCACTGGTACTGGAAGGCACAGAAAGCAATGCATGGACAAACACAGTCAGATGTTCTAACTGTTCCCTACTGTGTTAAAAATGTATTTCTTCTGAGTCTTTGTTGGTGAGATTTCTAATCACTTCCTGCACCAGCAGGAAGTAAGGGCAAATCTTCCCAATGGAGACAGAAACAGCAAAACTTGATAGAAGCTCTTACCCCTTCTCTACTCTATGCAAAACAAAATAAAAATGTTTGACCAACCTTGGATTTTCATAGAACTCCTCAGTCTAGCATGTTAAAAAGTGACAATAAAGGCAGTTTAAAAAAAAAAAATTATACTTCCCTGCTCTGTGCAATGGTTTTGCACAGAACAGTCCGGATCCTCCTCTTCTTGGTTACCCCACTGGTGCTACTGGCCCCTCCCTTCTGCCAAGTGCCCCCATAGCATGCAGTTTGCTATGGGGGCACCTGAGCAGGCTTGCTCACTCTTGAGCTGCTGCTCTGTGTGTTCATTCACACACGAAGCATGGCTCAACCACCCCCCCTTTCTCTCCTCATTGGCTCACTGGCTGTGATTGACAGTAGCGGAAGCCACCAATGGCTCATGCTGCTGTCTCAGCCAATGAGGAGGAAGAGTCCCTGGAGAGCCTCTGCTCTCATGCACATTGCTGGATTGAGATGTGGTCCAGGTAATTAGGGTGGGCTGATGCACACAGAAGGTTTTACACCTTCATGCATAGTGTGCATGAAGGTAAAAAAACCTTGAGCCTTTACAACCACTTTCATTTTTACAAATATAGAGAAAACACTGATTTTTTTTTTTTTAGAAAACTGGCCAGACTTCAGATAAGCAACAAGATGGAAAAGAAGAAAAACATTACAGAAATCTGTGCTGACCTTTGTGGCAATCCTGTAGGTAATAAAAGTTTCTATGGCTGTGACGTGACATTCTGGCTCGTCGACGGTAATGAAAACATCTTTGACATCAGGTTCGTCCTCAAACTTGATCTGGTTGATCATAGATGAAGGCGAGGCCAGCATCAATGGACTGAATGAGCTCCCATCATTCAGAGTTGTATCCTGCAAAGACAAAATATAGTTTCATGAAGTAACATGGAACAGTTAGGTGTCATTTTTAAAAAAGATATTCCAGCTTATACTATACTGTTTTTAAATAGTGGACACTTGCAGATAAGAAAGACAAATAATATCTACTTGTCTACCATATATTTTATCTGCAAGGATCCACACTTCACAAACTGAGCATCTCTTAAGGCTGGTTCACACGTGCATCAATACCATGTGCTTATGCTGCATTTATTCAGCAATTATAAAGCCTCATAAATATTACAATGGCACCAAACAATGCAGTACACACAGGAGCGGTAGTGTTGTGTGGTGTTAAAAAATTAAGCAGCATGGCACTTTCACAAGGCATCAACGCTTGTCAGCCACCTCCATTGATTTCAGTGGTAAGGCTTGTAACACTAACTGCGCCTATAGAATTTTTTGGTGTGTTAGTGAAGCTTTTATAAAGTGTCAACCAGGCAATGTGGGAGAGGCCGTTCCTGTATCCCAGAATGGACTGAGAAAGAATAAAAAAAGGACAGAGCAGCTCCTGTCACTTCCTGTTTATACAAAGCAGCCATGTAGTAACTATTTGCTTCTGTGTGCGGGCAAAAGCTTCAACCAGCTAGTAATATTGACAGGGCCAGGTAGGAGCAGAGGCATTGAGAATTATTGCCAGTGGAAAAGTTTTTATTGTGTCAGCAAAGCTGAGCTGGACCAAGCCAAGTGTCAAAGAGATCAAAGTACACAAATCCATCTTACCCTAGGTTCACACCTAACCGTTTTCTGCAGCGTTTTGCAAACACGCAGTACAGTCCATTTAACATGATTTCCTATGGGACATGTTCACATCTGTGCATTTTCATCCAGTGCATTTCCTGGAAAGGGTCAGGGACTTTTCTGAATACAAAAAGTTGTGTTTTTGGTTCTATAGGCTTCAATGGAAATGCTGCAGAAAAGCACGTGTTTTGAATCTGCCTAGGAACAAGAAAAAAAAAAAGTTTGAGTTGCCAAACATCAGCCACCAAACCTTAATGACTTGGAGAGGATCTGCTAAGAGGAGTGGGCCAAAATCCCTCCTGAGATGTGTGCAAACCTGGTGGCCAACTACAGGAAATGTCTGACCTCTGTGATTACCAACAAGGGATTGGCCACCAAGTACTAAGTCATGTTTTGTGAAGGGGATCAAATACTTATTTCCCTCATGAACATGCAAATCAGTGCATCATTTGTTAGACATGCATTTCTTTTGAATTTTTTGTTGCTATTCTGTCTCTCAGTATTACAATACACTTACCATTCAATTTTTAGACTGATCATTTCTTTGTGAGTGGGCAAACATTCAAAATCAGCAGGGGATCAAATACTTATTTCCTTCACTATAGGTGCGAACCTAGTCTTACAGAGTACTCACAAAAATGCCTGCTATCACACCACAACCTAATCTTCAATGCCCTTGCTGAGGGAAGAATGTTCTCACCGATATTTTGATGGTACATTGCCCCGTCCATCATCTCTTTGATGCGGTGCAGTTGTCCTGCCCCCTTAGCAGAAAACCACCCCCAAAGCAGAATGTTTCCACCACGGTTGACAGTTGGGATGGTGTTCTTGGGGTTATAGGCAGCATTCCTCCTCCAAACACGGCGAATTGAGTTGATGCTAAAGAGCTCAATTTTGGTCTCATCTGACCACAACACGTTCAACCAGTCCTCTGTATCATCCAGATGTTCAGTGGCAAACTTCAGACGGGCCTGGACATGTGCTTTCTTGAGCAGAGGGACCTTGCGGGAACTGTAGGATTTCAATCCTTGTCAGTGATAGTTTAGTAGCCCAGTCCAGCCTTGTGTAGGTCTACAATCTTGTCCCTGACATCCTTGAACAGCTCTTTGCCATGGTGGAGAGTTTGGAATCTGATTGTTTGATTGCTCCTGTGAACAGGTGTCTTTTATACAGGTAACAAAATTAGATTAGCAGCACTCCCTTTAAGAGACTGCTTCTAATCTCAGCTCGTTACCTGTATGAAAGACACCTGGTAGCCAGAACTCCTGCTGAATGGTAGGGGATCAAATACTTATTTCCCTCAAGAACATGCAAATCAGTGCATAATCTGTTAGACATGCATTTCTTTTTGAAATTTTTGTTGACTGATTATTTATGAGTGGGCAAACATTGAAAATCAGCAGGGGATCAAATAATTATTTCCTTCACTACAGGTGTGAACCTAGCCTTACAGAGTACTCACAAAAATGCCTGCTATCACAGCACAACCTAATCAAAGCAGATCACTTCCTCTACATCACTTCCCCTTTAACCACTTCCTGCATATATACTGCCTCTCGGCATGTGGGCTTTGATGCCGAGAGGCCGCATATATGTGGTCCTATATAAACACTTTTTTTTCCTAAGAGCACACCCTGCTCACTCCCAGCACAGTTATTGGCAGGGATTGGAAAGCTCCCGTTGTACCCTTGCAATCAAGTCCTTTCAGATCACGTGACAGCCAATCACAATGGCCACATGACCCAAATGCCCGCCTCAGCCCCCTAGCAATTAGAAGCCCTTAAAAGGTCGAGAGGTGAGGCAGGAAGGGGTTAAGCACTTCCCACTAGAAAAACAACACTTCCATGGGCATTTATCAAGCTTTCTTGAAGTTTTTTCAATGCTTCATAAACACAATGAAAACACGTCATAAATGGTATAGGAGCGTTAATGAGCATTGCTTCGTTCTTCATAATCAACATGTGTGAATAAGCCCTCTTTTTTTTTTTTCTTCATTTTAGCTGGAAGTTTTACATTGGCATGGGGTATTAATAGACAAGGGACTAGATATTTACTGCAAAATCCACTTTCAAGTGTAAACCTTAACATTTTTTCTTTTTAAAATGATTAATATGTTCTACTTACCTGCTCTACACAGAACAGTCCCAATTCTCCTCTTCTGCGGTCTCCTGTTGATGCTCCAGGCTCCACTTCTTTCTATAGGGGCACTCCTGCAGGCTCGCTGCCGAGCTGGGCTGTGTGCATCCATAGACACAAACAGAGGAGCTCGGCCCCACCTCCCAGGCCCTGGTCATACTATTTGATTGACAGCAGCAGGAGCCCATGACTCCCACTGTTATCAATCTGCTGCGAAGTAAGCCAGGGAGAGAGCAGAGAGAGCCACTGTTCTCATGCACATTGCTGGATCAAGATCAGGCTCATGTATAGGGGGGCATCCTGCTGCACAGAAGGATTTTTACCTAATGCAGAGAATGCATTAAAGTGATACTAAACCCAGGACCCTGCATTCAGTATATCTCCCACAGTACACAGAACCTATTCTAATTCTAATGGCACACCACCCGCACTGGAAATCACAACCGCACTGGGAATCGAGGTTCCTGTGTGGGCTAAGTTTTCAGAAGAAGTGTAGGGACTTCTTCCCTGCGTGTCCCAGTGCACAGGAGTCCATTCAAATTAATAGGCTTTCGTGCCCGCGCAAAACGTGGCCCGCAGGAACGCGCATATGTGAACCAGGGGTTAGAGCAGTCTTTTGACTTCAGCAGAGCACTGGTTAAAGAATATAGGAGGAGTTTTCTTGCTGCTCTAGGAAGATGTGAAACCCCTGACCGGGGGTCTGGACAGTGCTGATTACATGCACTCTTCCAAGAAAAAAAAAAAAAAAAACTCTCTGGCAATACACACCAAACTGAGCATGTGCATGTGACTACGGATTTAGTCTGTATCAGGTGATCATTTCAACAAGAGGAGGGGCAGAGAAGAAAGGATCAAAGCTCCTTTTTACACAATGCGGAGGGTTAACCCCTTAGGTTCCACAGTGAGTATAACAAGCATGCTTTACTGCATATACAGACTGAATTTACTGTTGTGGGTTTAGTAACACTTTAAGGTAAAAAAACCCTATAGGATTTAGAACCACTTTGTGCTGATTATATTTATAAGAAAAGATAAAAGGAGGACATTCATATATTTACATTCCCTATATATTATTATGCTAAATGCATAATTTAGAAATATTCTTGTGATGTCATCACTTTGAAGAACAGAGAAAGGACTCAAACTTGACTGATGTCCAGAAATACAAACAATTCTATCAGAGCTGAAGGTTTGTCTTTTGTTTCTGTGAAAATTAAAGTTGAAAATTCTAGGTCATATCAATATTCGTTTGCTCTAAAATATTCTGCTTTAATTAGAACTCTAATGAGGAGTTTGTTTTTAAGTTTTCTGATAGCCTTCCCCTTCCATATGGCTGAAGAATTCTTGCCTTGGTAAATTATTAAACATATTCACAGTCAAAATCCTTACAGGGAGCTGTGAATTTTTTTTTTTTTTACATTTCCCAAGTAACAGAAGGCTTCTCTGACATTATGGAAGATGGAGCACAAACTGTCATCCTTTTTACGGTCTCATTTACACTCCCTGCAGCCCGTGCATGCTCTGTAATACAAGGTACAGTTTGTGTACAGCCTGTCTCTCCATGTATTTGTATTGTCACTGAATGCCATCAAAATGGCCTAGGCTGTCTATAGCTCATGTACCAACCTTCTAAACGGATATGAAGTTTATGAGTAAACAATAGTCCCTTGGGTAACCCCACAACATTGCCACAATGCAATAGATTGTAAAGAAACTCTCTTTACAGCAGCCTTTCTCAAACTGTCTTACTCCTAAGGAACCTTAAAGTAATTTTCACATTCTCGGGGAGCCCATTCTAAAATGGAATTTACCTTTGGATCTTGTTAGTTCGATCGGCAAGTTGAAAATTTTAAAGAATTCTAGGTATGGCTATATTATACATAATTACATTGGTCCAGCTTGGACCAGTGTGACTATGTACAGTAATACCTCGGGTTACTAACACCTCGGTTAATGTAATTTTCAGTTTATGAATGAAAATCATTGAAAATAATGCCTCAGTTTACACATTTTTTTCGCAATACAAAGTGTATGTTGGTGCCGATTTTTAAATGCAATTGCCGGATTTTTTTTTTCTTCACTACAGCTCACAGAATTA